GCTCGGTGCAGCCATCACTGGTATTCAGTGGTGCTGCGGTGATAGGGTACCAATGAAATAAGTAGAAACACAATATAAAACATTTATTAATTATCATGAATTTAGAAGATACACATAATGAAGTATTGTATACATACAGGGTAGTCATTTGAAAACGAAACAGAGCCAATTTTGGGCATCACAGGTCATTTACGAACAAACGCTCGGACTCGTCAATTTTTGATTTTAGGGGAAAACATTTTTTTTGCCAGTTTCAACCCCTGAACGGAAACCCTTTAGCGGAGGTAAAACTTCCCACTAAATCTTATTTTGAAGGTATTTTTACCTAGATTATAAACCCCGAGTTTTAAATCGCTAGTGTCACCAATTATTCGTTGTCGCAGATTTTCCAGTGATGTTGGCTGGGTGGCATAAATTTTAAGTTTTAAGTGGCTCCATAAAAAATCTAACGGAGTTAGATCCGGAGACCGTCGGGGCCACTCAATACTTCCTCGTCTTCCGATCCATTGATCCGCAAACGTTTGATCCAAATACTGACAAACAGTCAGTGCAAAATGGGGTGGAGCACCGTCTTGCTGGAATATTAAGTTATTTGCTATATACTGATCGTGATTCTCAATTAACTCTAGTAATGCTGGAAGAATGTCATTTTCTAATAATTCCAGATACATTTCTGCGGTTAGAGTTGCAGGTAAAAAAAGGTCAATTATACGGTTTCCCAAAATTTTTAGACTAACTCCAAAATATACTTGCATTTGATTGTTAAACAGTTGGGCAAATCTATTAGCACATCGCAAAAAAGTGAAATTATTTGCACCCTCTCAGCAATTGAGTAAACCATTATCACTGATATGCCACTTTTATGCCGACTTTTTAATAACAATGTAAAGATTATGTTAAACCGGCTTTGTATTTTTGGTTAGCCTCTGTATGGGCTACGTAGATAGTAGCGATATAAAACTCGGGGGTTATATTCTAGGTAAAAATACGCATTTGCTTGATAGCATATGTACAGAGCGCTTATCTTGTTAATTGTAGACCGTTATTAGTCGTACTTTTTTGACGTCATAGGGTTTTATACAACAGGAATAATAAACCTTTAAGTCCAAGTTCAACGCGTTGTCAATGACAACTGACGGCGACTTTTTTATCACAAAAAATACAGCTCCGAACAATAATAATTTCAGAAATTGTTTTTAAAAATGGGTTCAGAGTACGGTAAAGAATGGTGGAAAGTCTATAGTTTGTTTTACTTTTAATGCACAATATTTTAATAAGTGATATTTAACAAATATTTAAAAGTTGTGGACTTTCCACCATTTTTTATAGTATTTAAAAGCTAAAACGCAAAATACACTCTTTTATTTGTGTCCCAATTATTTAAGGAAAATTTGTTAAGATTTAAAAATGTACAGTCGATGAGGTGGAGCCAATTTGCAACCGTGCTAATTCGAAACATACGTTTTATTAAACTCATCGTGTTACGTATTTGTTAAAATTAAGAGATGGAAATTTAAAGTGACGTCCTGTATTACTTCGAATAAAAAATCGTCTTCTTACCTAAGAAAAAAATTGAGTTGAGTCTTAAGAAGAAAGCCTTAATATTTTGCACTACGATTATCGCAACGTGCAACGTCTAATGCACACAACTCTGACAGCCAATAAAAAAACTGATGCCGCATTTGGCATCCTGTCGCTCTACGAACTTGGGCAACGACAGTTTCTTCATTTAACTTATTGGCACTTTTTGTCCACGTTGTGCTATGGGTGCTCCGCACCCAATTTAAAACTGCTCTGGGTGCTTGCGCACCCAGAGCCCCGGGGATTCGGCGCCTATGCAACTTAGTAAAAAGGTATTTGTAAAATACGTAGATTTCCTTAGTCATAATAACTTTTAGGTCAAATTCGCACAATACGCCATATTTTCTTAACGTAATTGAAGTACGATTCTAAATTTTAAATTTTTAAAATGACCATAACTAAAACATACGAATGAAAATACCGAAAAACGAAACATTATTGATTTTCTAAAGTGATACACAACAAACGTAACATAGTTTTAGCTCATAATATTATTATTATTTTTTTACACGATCATATTCTTTTCTTATATTTTTTTAATTAGAGAGTATTTTGGAAGGGCATTGTTATTTTTCTAAGTAGAACTGTTAACATGCACGACAAAATTTTCTTCGCATTAATTTCAACAAGCTTGAACTGTATATTCACCGTAATTACATTACATATATTTTTGTCACCGACATTTATTTATTTTCAATCTTTCATGTGAATTAGGTACATGTTTTAGTTGTGTTAGTGACTTCTTACAATATTTCTACTTATATATAGATAAAAATACCAAATAAGTATAAAATTTCTTTTCGTACACTTGGAGGCATACGTCATCTGCAAATATTTTGGTAGTTTCTACCTAAACTTAGTTAAATCAACGTCGAATTAACGTTATACTGACGTCAAATTTCCCTAGAGAGGTATTACTAACCAAACGTACTGGGCTACTACAATGTGGATTTAGATGTAATTCTACCTATTTTGGTAAATAAAACCAAATTTCGACGTCGTCTTATTCTCCACTTATGTCGAATCCACGTCGAGCCAACGTAAATTTTACTTAATTATGGTTAAATCTAATTTTGCGACCAAATTTATTATATATAATTTAGGTAGTATCGACGTCAAATTACACCAAAATGTTTGCTGGGGCAGTTTATATATTTTTGTATATCCGATATTTACGATGATAAGGATTGAAAATTTATAATAAATAAGCCTGATGACATGTGCGTCGCGAGCGTCGAACGTGTTAAACGGTACCCTTTATGTTCACTCTGACTTCGGACATGCGATTCTATGTTATTGCTACATTATTGTATACAATTTTAAACATAATAATTTTTATTAGTAATAGATATTTTAAGGTACCTATATTAATTATTTATGGCTAAAAGCATTGTTTCTAACATGAACAAAATAACCACATGTATAAATGTACCTAATTTATGCATATTATATTTTTGTTTAATGTCTGGTAATTATAATAAAAAAAATGTTTCATTATTCATAGAAATATTTACGAGTATTTAACGGCAAATAGTAACAATAAATACAAAAATTATTCCAGCTTTTAAATCTTTTTGGCAATATATTAATAAATCTGTATTTTGTTATTTAATTCTCTTAATATAATAAAGTCCTTTAATATTTAACTCTTCATTCACCTCTACTGTCATATAACACAAATAAATAACGTTTTTTTGGGCCACATATGAAATAAAGCTTTTGGGCCAATCTAGGTCCGAGAAAAACACGATAAATAAATAAGATAGTTCTCTAGGTCATCAAAAAAACATGCCCCACAAGCTTATACTTCTACCGAGAAGCAGAGGTGTAACACAGCATAAAAAACAATAGTGCTCTGACGGACTAAGTACAATAAGGGTCCGTGAACTACACGTGCTTCTTGTTGCAGTCAAGGTGTTACTTGTATTTGTTAAATTTGTCTCTTGTAGGCATTCAGACAGTGGGTCTGCTAGGGGAAGATACCCTTTAGCTTTTTACCTTCTATTGTTTACTACTTTATTATAATGAACGATGGACTGAATTGGAATAGACTTATGATGATTGATGATATTTTCTAAACATATGAACAGGATATGCAAAAATTATTTTATTCAGCCAAATTAATTAATTTTTCTTAGATATAATACCTACCGTTTAAAATGTTTTAAGGCCAACCCTTTTCCATTCTAATCTAGGTACCAAATTTGAATATAAAAAATAACAAAACTTACGGTTGAATTTTCAGTCATGGCAAGAGTTTCCTACCTTCACCTAAACATTTGTTTTTACACTGTGTAAAATTATCGGTTTATTTAGATTATAACCTCTCATCTTGATATTTGTAGGTGGGAGGAAAAATCTGCGTGCCTACGGGTAATAAAATATTCTCGTATTTTGTAGATTAAAGAGATTACACATTTTTCTGGAATTAACTTTTATATTTTATTTAAATAAGTACAAATAGATGCATAAAAAATCAGTAGTACTAAATACCATTGGCGTAAACGGATGAAAATTAATAGGTACATAAAGACTACAGTCTACTCGACAAATAATTCAAGAGAAAATAAAAAAGTTAATGACACAATCGGTATTAAAAGTTTCGTAAACTTATGGAGTAAAATTCCAATAGCTTAGTTGATAAGAGCGGTGTGCGTTAAAAGTTCTCAGTAGCAGCTCATGTGCTTTGAATGCCTGCGTACTTGTGAAGCTTGCCCTGTGACACCTGGTTCTTTATTCTTGAATTTCGGGGAGTAGAAATAGTGAGAGAAAGTGACGTAAAAGTAGGCGTGGCTCCCTAAAACTAAAAAGACGGCATTCTTGAAAAAAATTCTCTAAGAAGTTGATAGAAATTTTTCTCCCTAAGGGAGTTTAAATTTCTACTGGTCCCAAGTAAGAGAAAATGAATATGGAGTAAAAAATCCAGATCTGGCAGCTGCCAGAAGATTGCAACAAAATATTATATTAAACCATTTCATTAATTAATTATTGATTATTTAACGAATGTACACTATATGTAAAAAAAAACAATATTTTATTTTTTGTGTATTTTATTCACAAATACGAACAAACTTACAATTCTACATAGAGTAAAAAATACTAAACAAATGAAAAAAGTAATTAAACAAACTGAACAAAAACTTAAAACGAACAAAAAAACATAACGAATGTACCTAATTTAAAAAAACTATAATTCTCTACCTGTAACACACACCGAACTTGTAAGCTCCATGACTTTCAACTCAAAAGTATGCGTAGTAACTGGTTCAGGAGGCCCTCCTCCTGTACCTCTTTGGTGTTTTTTTTGTTTAGCCAATTTCGATTTACAATTTTTTTTATGTCGATCCAAGTCTATAACATAAAAAAACAAATGTTGATGAAGTTTGTGAAGCAGTTTTGAAATAAATTTTACAACTTACCTTTCGCCAAGCACTCCATTCTTTTTTAGCCCCATTGGGATGAGCGTTCAGAATAACCGCCAACTCTTGCCACAACGCCCTCGATTGCGAATGTGTAAAATCCGGTGAAAATTTTCCGGCACATAATTTCGGTCTTGCTTTTATAAAGTCGACCATAATATCTTTTTGTTCACGTGTAATATGTGTTGACATTCTTGTTTTATGTATCTACTAAATCACAAAGTATATCACAAAGATAAATCACATTAACTTGCTAAAAATTTCGGAAAAAATTTGTATAAAATGTTTGGTTATTGAGACTCTCCTCTTTTTTCTCATAGATTAATTATTTGTGGACACTGTACCGTTACCGTTAGGTATTAGGTTAGGTATTGAAAGGTTGTCAATTTTCTGCATTTGTGATTGGTCAGAATTTTTCACTGAATTCTGGCAACCCTGTATGCGTTTTCTCTTACTCTTTTCTACTCCCTAGCTTCAAGAATTCAGCATTTTAAAATCGAGAGAAATTTTGAAGGAGACTAAAATTTTCTCTCGATTCAAGAATAAAGGCCTTGGGCAGGTACCAGGTGTAAAAGGTAACTAAAAATAATAGTTACTTAACTCAAATTTGTATGGCTGATTTTTAGATATATTTTATAGAATATTATTCTCAAGTAGTATCGCAAGTGTCAGACACTTTCCATGGACCAAAACTTTTGTCAGACGCTTTAAAGCTCCACAAAAAATAAATGAACTTTACTTATTTTTAAGTGTCTGATTTTTAAATATGTTATCAATATAACTATTACAAAATTATATTTAATCATTCAGACAAATTGTAATGACCAAAAATCCCCTGAAAATAAAAATTATTCGGCCGTGAGTATGAGCGCGAGAGCACTATGCATTTCAGAACGAGTGAGACGTCCATATTAACTCGGTTCTCCTTCTTAAACTCACAATCTGTTTCAGTCTACTGGGTATGTGCGCACAACGTATAGTATACAGTATAGTTTGGGTCTGTGAGAGCTAGCTTTTATGCAACTTGGAAGTCCAGAGTCGTTTACCGATGCGCACATACAACAGGATATTTTTAACAAAGTCAAAAATTTATTTGCGAAATTTATAATGTTCCTGGCATACTTGATGTTGATGCTGCCCTTAGATAAAAGAGATCAGAAATATAACATGCACCGGTCTTTAACCTGCGCAAATGTTGCCAGTTTCTAAAGAAAGGTTAACGGAGTGGGGGAACTGGGCAGAGACCCGAACTCTTTGACAGAGACCGGACTTTGTTTATTAGCATCATAATGAACTATTAGATTTATTTATGGTACTCATTGTCTACGAGTATTTTAAAAAAAGCATGTGCAGGCGAATACTGCAAATCTAACCTTATGAGTTGAACATTATATTTTTTCTACGGCTATTACATAATATTAAAAATTAAACAAAATGAGAAAATGCTGTTTTGTATTGTAACGTCAGAAAAAGGTATATTAAGGCTTCTTTCTTTAGGAATATTAATTATTATAGAGGATGAGTCACATAAAACTCTAGAATTACACATCTTAAACCACATAACATTTTAAAATTTAAATCTATTAAAAGTCATTTGGTCGCTAGGGGTGGGTGATTATCGAAATAAATTATCTATCATTGAAAATAATCGATTATTTTCGATCAATCGATTATTTTCAAACAATATATTTTTTGTCGTTTTTCCTTTAAAATCGTTTTTGAAAAATCAAAAATAATCGATTAATTAAAAAGCCAATTAACCGATAAATCGGTGTTTACAAAAAATAATAAAAGAATTATCGTTTATTTTAAATAATCGATTATTTTCAAATAATCCATTTTTTTCGTCCATTGAAACAGATTATTCGATAATCTTTAAAAAATCGAAAATAATCGATTAATAAAAAATAATCGATTAATTAAAATGTCGATTAACTGATACTTCGATTTAAAAAAACAGAATTATCGATTATTTTAAATATTCGATTATTATCAATAACCTATTTTTATTGTATTTCCTTTAAAATCGATAATTCAATTATCTTTGAAATACCGAAAATAATCGATGATTCCAAAATAATCGCTTAATCGAAGATAACCAATTAATTAAGAAGCCGATTCTACGATAAATTGATTTTCCAAAAAATAACCGAATTATCGATAATTTTCTAATAATCCTTTTTTTTTCATATTTTTTTAAAATTGATTATTTGATTATCGAAAATAATCGATAAATCAAAAATAATCGATTATTAAAAAGCTGATTAATCGATAAATCGATAATTTAAAAAAATAACCAAAATATTGGTTATATAAAATAACCGATTATATTCGATCAATCGTTTATTTTTATATAATATCTTTGAAAAATTGAAAATAATCGAATAATTTAAAAACAAATTAAACGATAAATCGATTTTTTTTCAATCAATCGATTATTTTGAATAAATCTACTTCCGTTTTGTATTTTCTTTAAAATCGATTAATACATTATCTTAAAAAACGAAAATAATTTATTAAAAATAACGGATAAATCGATTTTCATAAAAAATATCAGATTATTCGATAAATCGATTATTTTTGTAACCCCTATCGGTCGCTTACTTTTATCCGAGCATTTAGCTCCAAAATTTAGACATTCGGATTTTTGATCCCGTTATCTTTGAAACCGCATTCGATTGTATAATAAATAATAAATATTGCTAAAATTTGGATTTTTTTAGTAAACAAAAATTTTGTTCGAGTTGTTTAGAGGCTTATAATGTTAATAATGTAATATAATATAATATTTTATTACCAATATACCAATGTAACTAACTCCCGTAACTTTAGTATTTTTTTTTGCTTATACTAGATCATATGGTGCGTTTTACTTTGTTTTAAGACTGAAGATTCAAATGTCACTTTCGATTTGACCGCAAATAAGATGAACCTTTAAATTTTAAGTAGGTCATCCTACATTTCATCTAATATTCTTATAAAAATACCTTATAAAAATAAAATTTAGCTAGCAACCTTGCTTCTTTACTTCTTAATTATCTACCAAAAAGGGCCAAAAACCACCTTTAGTAAACATTCTTATAAAACTACTTTTTAAATACAAAATTTCGTTAGCAACAATGCCTATTTTTACCCTTTTGTAAATTTATGTAAGTAATATGAAATCTGATTTCTGAAATATGTATATGATGCTTAATATGAGGATCATGACGCTTTATGTCAAAACGTTAATAAATATTTACCGCTGAAAACGAATATATTTTGTATCTTTCATAACATCGGTACTTGTATTATAAGTATATACAATTTTTCAAGATACATCGTGGCATTTTTAACTTGAAATTGAATAACTAGAACACTTTAAATTGCTAAAATACCAACAAATAAATCAAAAAACAGCTGTCAATGGTGACTGAACTCAGGCGGAGGTGATCGTTGAATGTAAAATTGGAGCAATTCGGGTGGCGTCTTGCAAATAATGATTTTCAATTGGTGGGTTACTTTGGGTTAAAATAGACAACATGCGCAGTGTGCAATGTTACATCTTCGGCCTCTTTAATCTGAGATGCTGCCCGACTTCAGCTGTTTTTAAATAATTACACCGTTTCTGATATAAATGAAGAATTCAATCCAAAAAATTAAAAAAAAATTGATGCTAGCAATTTATCACGATGCAAAACAATTCAACAATTTCTCCGAGCTAATTATATTGCCAGTATATGGAATAATGCAAATGAAAAACAACCAACCATCTTTACTCCTGAAAACAATGGGTGGACGTTGGAAGAAAACCAGTATCACTATCATTGGTTTGATGGTGACCAATTACCAAGAGACGTTAGTGAATCACTTCAAGATCCAGGTACTGAACTATGACTTCAGGTTTACAATCTAATATTATATTTTGCATTTTTTCAGCTGTAAATATAGTACGAAACTATAAAATAAAAACAAAGAAATTTGAGAAAAAAGAATGTCTAACTAAAAGATATTACCAGAGGAATATACTTTTGCAGGCAAGCTGCAAAAGATAGTTAGTTTGTGTTTTTATCTTATAATTTATCTGAGACAGACACGTTGAAATTATATAACAGTTATTTTTTTTAAATTAGTTATTTGTAGTTGTTAAATTTTTAACTAAAACAGATGTATTGTACATCTACAAATGAGTCTTCTTTCAGTTGTTACACAGTAAGAAATTGCTGAATATTTTCTATTCGAGAAAATACCCCTATGGGTACGACCTCCACGAACTCCACCAATATTTTCGTTTTCAAAGATTACACAAGTTTATTAATTGTATTAACATTAGATTGCCAGTGTAAATTTTCAAAACTCTTGCATATCTCCCTACTTTCTGCTTCTATAGCAATCGATGGTCTAGCTATACTTTTCTTAGTCCATCGACTTAATATTGTAAAAAGAATGGTGGCTCTAAAAGACGGTTTTGTTACTTTTATGATTCCTGTGTATGTCTAAAGCCGGCTACTCACTACGCGTTACTTGCCGAGTTACTTGGACTGAACTTGGCAAGTACTTGTTCGAGTACAAGTAAATCGTCTACATTACGCGCGCCTTCTAAAGTAGTAGTAGTAGTAACTTTACTCGGATCCTTTGACTTCGGTCCGTTTACCGACAACCGACGGGAAGTACAAGTAACTTGCTGAGTCTATACAAGTCTCCATAGACATTACATGGTACTTGCAAAGTACTTGGCAAGTAACGCGTAGTGAGTAGCCGGCTTAACGGACAAAATCAATGTACCTCGATCAGTGGTACTTTTGCTTCTCAGAAATTTGTATTTATCCGAAATTGTTACACAGTTTACTGTACCAAATAAAAAAATTAAATATTACAGGTAATTTTCTAAATGTTCCAGATAAACTATATAGCAAAGGGAGCTATTTTCTTAGTGAGGCTGTGGGCTACCTCTACCTTCAGGTGTGTAGATGAGCCAGAGGTAGTAAACCTGAAATAAATAAAAACAATTATTATAATATAAATGTTCCAAAAAGTAAATATTACTTACATGTTTATTTATATTATTTCGTTTGATTTTAATACTGCTCCTATCTATTGAAGTAAATGCTAAATATATATATTTGATTGTTTTCACATCGTTAAACAAGTTTAATTAAAATGAAAAAATAAATAAATCAGGGATCCATATGTTGCAAAATATTTTGTGACAT